ACTGATGCGATGTTGAAATTGTTTTTGTTTATCAAAGAAGTCTTAGTAGCAAATAATTTTGCATATTCTTATTTAATTTCCTAATTTGGTCAAACAATATTTACATTTTAACTAATTACGAAACATCTAGAACGAATGATGGCGCTGTTAACTTATATTTTTGTAAATGGCGCCAAAATTTGACAGCTCGTAATTATGACGTTTCTTTTTTTAACTCCACTCGATCAGCAAGTGACCGCTGCTTACAGCCAATCTTTCTAAGCATATTAAAATAAAAATAGCTATCTATAACATGAAATAATGTGAAATTCACTGACCACGGCTCAGGAACGTTGACGAAAAATGTTGATAGCATATCTAAAACGAATAATTAGAAATATATCCACGATAGTGCATGACATCATCATCATTGTAATCTGTATTGATAAGCAATTTATTCAATTTAAAGTTAAATTGTACTATCATGTTACAGTGGTGAAGGATTTCTGTAATACTATATGGAATCAAATTAATTGTCGAGTTTTTTAGGTCAATTGTCGCGTCCTATTTTATGTTTTTATGGCTCTCTCTCTATGATTTTAAGTGATTCATTTGCTATCTGACATATTTCATATGGGAAAGTAAATGGTATTGTGTCTTGTAAAAAGTACTGAATGAATTTCGTTTTAAGCATGTAGCGTAGACTGTCCAGGCGACACACGTATTTAGGTATCGTCATGAGCTAATGTTCACATGTAAACAGCAGCTCATGTAGTGCAGAGATTGTCCAGTCAACAAGGATGTAGCGTAGACTGCCCAGGCGACACACGTACTTAGGTATCGTCATGAGCTAATGTTCACATGTAAACAGCAGCTCATGTAGTGCAGAGATTGTCCAGTCAACAAGATGACTGAGGAATTAATCGGAAAGTTACGTATGACATACAAAATGTTCGTGACAAAATAATAAAAAAGTATTATGAATATTAAGTCCGGCCTGTGATGTGGTAGTGGCAGGTAGGGTGCCTCCATCATACGTCTGTCAGGCGCATAACATATAGGTACATACTTACATATTATTGTGACGTAATATTGTACAGCGTGTTTCGGTAAAAGGTTTATTTCAGACTAGTGTGTAGAGTAATCGGGAATGTTAAATCGTAGTACTATAGGATGACCTTTCTGAAGAGTTCAGAAGGGTACAGAATTATGATGGACAGGTTTTAGAAGTTTTTTACATACATAACCTCACACCTGTCTCCCCTGGGCAGAGACTATGGAACGCCAATTGCTACGATTCCTACATACCTCTTTCGCTTCATCAACAGACATCAGTCTTTTCATGCATGCTCGTCGGTTAAGGGTACATTTAACTTTTCTTGTCCTTCTAGAATACGATTTCCAGTCTGATAAGTTAAAATTTGCAGTCTTTTATAGGTAGTCAAGTGGACCATTTCAGAGTCCATCGAATCTTGGTTGGTTAATGGTTACTATAATCAATCATTATGAAGATTGTTGAGATCAGCAATTAATTTTTAATGATTAGTTTTTCCAATTTTCATAATCGACTAACAATAATATGATTTCTTTAATGATTGATTAATGTTAACAAGGATTTTGATAGTTACTTCCAATTTTCGTCGCTGATGCAATAAAAACAAGAAGTAACTCATTTCAGACAAGCTAGTTTTCAGTTCTTTTGTCTATTAGAGTGGCTCCTTTAAACTGTCAAACACCAAGCGGTCACCGGTGACCGCAACCTATTGTTCTATAATTGTGTCTACAAAACCGGTACTCGACGAGTTAAGTGGTTTCATTATGGAATGCAACGTTTGTTTGCAGATTTTCTACTGGAATTGTAATTTTTTCCTATTTTTCGTTGTCTTTATCTGCGCAAATGTACGTCATCATCGTCATCATCACCAGCATCAGCCCGTATTCGTCCACTGCTGGGCATAGGCCTCTCCAATGACACGCCACTGAGCTCAGTCTTCAGCTCTACTCATCCAACCACTGCCAGCCACCTTGCGGATGTCGTCACTCCACCTAGCTGGAGGGCGCTCTACACTGCGTTTGCCTAGACGCGGTCTCCACTCTAGAACTTTGTACATATGTTTGCTTACTTTCAGGATTAGACCTTCGGTTGATGGTAATGATTTTCTCTAGTTAGGAAAATGTGAAGCGAGTTTCATTCAGTTTAATCACTAACAGAAAAAAATCACTTACAGAGACAATAAATAGTAGATAAGTCCTTCATGTCCTTCAACCGACACATAAAATTAGCTGCCTAACTTTAATAGATTTTGTAGAAGTATCCAAAGACAAAATTCAATTTGTTTATTTACCGTCTGAATGCCGGAGAGCCGATTAAACGAGTATCTAATTCCATCGGTTTTATTGTCTCTGGAACAACTATAAACTCGACTTATTTATGGTTTGATGGCCCACTGATGTAGTGCACTCCTACAAATAATATCGGCTTTCTTTTTTCAATAGTTTTTAGTTTAACGGTGGAGGAAAAATTGGCAAGTATTTGTTAGTTTTATAAACATTACGTCAATGTTTTGGTCCATTGGATTAAATAGTAATTACTTAGGATCCTAACATACTTATTTTTGCTATGTCATGAATTCATGATGTTATTTTTTCGATTATTTCGACCGCCTGCTGTTGAATTCTCATTCTGGCATTTTTAAATAATGTAAGCTACATTTGCGGAACCAACGCCAATAGAATAACCATAGCATGTCCTGCACGTTGTTTTTCATTAGAATCTACTTTTTAATCGAGCTCAAAGATCGACTGACATACTGATTAATTAGCATCATCATCATATCAGCCACTGCTGAACATAGGCCTTCCCCTATGACTTCCAGATAGTGGAAACGACCTGCATCCAGCAGTATTATCTATTACATTATCATCTAGTTAATCTAGATAGGTAGATAATCTACATAAACGCATGTTTAAGTGTAAAGGAATGCTTTTCCTTCTCACCCAGCATTTGGGAAACCTTTGGTCATCATGGTTGACGTCAAATTGCATTGGAGATAAAAAACAGCTGACGAAAAATGAGATATCTAAAAAAATTAAAAAGGTCTTAACTTTCTTTATTTGTGACGTATCTATCATTCATTGGTTTTTCCACCGACCTTGGCAAAGATAAGTTCTTTCCATTGTAATATTTTATAATCTGTGTTACAAAGATTGTTTATGGTTATCGTAAAATTATTCTCTGATGATGCAATTAATCAATAATTAATATTTGTTCAATTGAAAGTGTTAGCAACCGTAATCTTCAGTGAAATTATCTAGGATTATTTTTTAATCTCATTTTTTTTTTGTTTTACCATTCTCGTGTTTGTGTTTGTTTTTAAGTTTTTGCCGTAATATCGGTTTTGTTCGTCTTTTGTTTTGTTTCTGTTTTGTTGCTATTGACAGGGTTAAGGATTTTTTTGCGCAAATTATTATAGGTCTAGTCGCAATAGTTTTTTTAAATTTTTTGTTGACCTTGATGGATCTTTAATTGTATTTGTATATTGTATGTTCTGTTGTTTTACTTCTAATATAGTTTTTTTTATTAATTTTACTAACCGGACTTTTATTTTGACACCTTTTCCCAAACTTCCTCTTCACATACACAATTTTCCTCGACAGTTTGTTTTTGGTCGAAAAGAAAAGTTTTCCTAAATCGGCCCAGTCGTTTATGAGTTTCACGCTTACCTAGTAACAAACACGGTGATTCATAATTATAATTTGTATTGACAATTCCTTGTCGAAATCATTGCCCGTATTTCGAACCTTATCAACATTATCTAGACGTAGATTGGTATTTATTTTTAATCTTTTTTTTTAAATTACCTATTTCAATGTTTAGGTTTATTTTCATGCCTTCATTGATTTTTTCTTTTTAAAGTATACATACATTCGTGCATAAAATTATGCCTTTGTGCCAGTAGACAGAAATCACAGTGCGCCGTACTACTCTTAAGCTCCTTACATACTTCTTTAGCTTCCATCATATACAAACATCTAGTTACACAATCTAGGTGTTTCTAATAAGTATAACTTTATGTGTATATTATATAGTATGTCTTTAACTTTGTCCCACTATAGACACGCCTAGAAATTACAAGACATTGAATAGACGAAAGTCACAGCCAACTTAGAAACTATTGTTCTACAATCGAAACATTTACTTATTCAGCCAACTACGCGACTCGCTAACTTTGAAAACTTTTCCGAACGTAACTTTCGAAAAAAAAGCAACAAACTAAAAAAAAATTAATTCTTTATGAAACGAAACCGTTTATCGAGTTCGAAATTCGAAAAAAGTACTCGTTGTAAAGTTGTGCTCGGAAACTTTAACCTCATTTTATTGTTACGCTCGCGTCCCGCGCCCCTGCAGAGAATTGGCAACGTCGCTTTTTGTACCCAGTTGCCAGGGTCGACAGAGCTTTCGTTGCCTGGTTTTAGGGAGATTGGGAAATATTGTGGGAAACTGCGTCTTAAGTTTTGTTGGAGAATTTGGACTTTTACTGTGTTTGATTAGAGTTGTTCTGTGTTTGCGACTGGCCAGAGATCGTGTTGTGTTCAAACTTGATCAAAATGACTTATTTAATGTCATTGAATATTTAAATGTTTATTTAAAAATGAAGAGATAACTATGCACAAATAATTTTCACTAAATAGAATCATAACCTGCTGTTGTCAAGCTGTCCTCATAAATATTTCCTATTATGAGGACAGCTTGACAACATTAATAGATAAACATAGACTTAACAAAATAACTAGGGATTCTTTAGGATTTCCTTATAATTTTCCCTGTGTTTCTTGACATAGTTATACTGTTTTTCTGTTTTGATGATATTAAGTTTATTAAACTAAATCCTTCTTACAATATCCTCAAAAAACCTCAAAAAGTGACTGAAAACGAAACAAAACTCACAATTTAATAGGGAGATTAACCAATCATATATAGCAACACTGCTCGCTAAGTGAGCGGCGCGCGGCCATGGCGGTTCAGTAGTATCCCCGCCGCCGCGCCGCGCGGACGTACGGCGCTCCGTCATAAAACACGTACAAAGTTTATGTGATGTAACAAAGTGACTTGTTATCTAGTGTTGACTTTAGTGCCAGCATTGTCTTGTATGTTTACGTTTTCACATGATTGTTCTACACTCAGCCAAAGTCGCGATAGTGTAATTTCTTTTAATTTTTTATTAAATTTACGCTCCTGGCGTGCGGATTAGATGAAAATTTTTATTTAAAGTGTTTGAATTTGGAAGTGATGTGTCGCTAGTGTGTCTGTGTTAGTTTTTTTTTTCTGGAATGCATTCGGTGACAAAGGTTTTCTTGTCTGTTCGATTAAACGTACGGATTTTTTGGGTTTAAAGTTTTGTATGATGGCGAAATTGTGTATTCTGAATGGATTGTTTGAATTTGAAGTTTAAAGGAATTGATTTTTCGGTAACGTTTTTTCTGTTTTTGATCGAAATTTCTCTTAATATTTGGTTATGTGTATTACTAATTCATTTATGAAATAGGTTTTCGAAAGAATTAAACAATTTAACTACCAATTTAAGTTTGGAAATCTAATGAAAATTAAATTTTTCTTTTGTTCAGATTTCTTGAAACTAATTTGTTTGTGGGACTTAAGTAAGTTAGAATTTATTCATCTTTCTATTAAAATGTAAACGTTTATTCAGCAGGATTTTAATATTTATGCTGGATTGTTTCAGTTTGTAATGACGAACTGTTTTTATCTAATTTTTAAAAGAAACCACGCAATTTTAAATGTAATAATTCGTTATCTACAATAGGTATATATTATCTATCTATTTAAGGAAAAAGATATTTTAATTTTTCTTTTTTCCATAAGGCGAAGCGCACTTGAAACACATTCTGAGCACGAGGTTCAAGATGCTATTTCCGAATCTGTAAAAAATGTTTGCTATGAACAGTGTTTTAAATGTCTTTGATTTCAATTACGACTGTAGAGGTACAAAAAAAATTTTTTTCTAAAAAAAACTAAAAAATGTCTTTAAAACAGTTATTGTTCTCTCTCAATACAAAAACTGCAATCACGCATCATAAAAAAACAATTAACAACAACAATATCGTAGAAAAGTCGCTCGCCCATCATATTCCAAACCTTGCACGCCATCACTTAACCCTGGCGATGCACGCGTGACCTTCCTATGACTAACATGTCTTACAATAACAATTATGTCACTTATTATGCACTACTTTTTACCTCAATCCAGATGTTTTTGAGATGGTATCTACAATACGTATGCACATATGTCGTTTCAATGTTAGATTCTTAACTTTAAAACATTACACCCACTTTTAACCGACTTCCAAAAAGGAAGGAGCTCTTATGCATCTTCATGCAATTTTCCAAGTTGAGATAGAACGGCATCTACCTATTCTCTTCTGATACATCATACAATTAATTTGGTCAAACTCTTTAAAATATGAAGTTCAATATTTCATTTTTTTTTTGTTGTTTTTTTTCAACTATCGCATACTATGTAATTGCCGCGGAGGGCTTAACGGGTTACCGGGGCTCCGGCTCGAAGGGCAGGAGTAGGAACGGGGTGGTTTTCAGTCAGTAAGAGTCTGACACTCCCTCCCGCCTCAGCCCGGCAAGAAAAACCCTTAAAAAAATACTATTTTATTAATTCGTATTAGACATAGTCGTCTCACTGCAGGGCAAAGGCCTCTCTACCCTCCTTCCACTCTTCTCTTCTTATAGCGTAAGCTAAAAGCAAGATATTTTATATATATATACTAAGTATCAATCACTTTATGAGTCAAAATATTCAATTTAAACCAAAGATTTTAAATGTAAACCGCACCCAAAAATACCTTATAACTCGATATACAATTAGTCACTCAAGTTCTACAACAGACTAGCTTCTGCTTGCGACTTCATTCGCGTCACCTTAATAAAGTATCCCATGGGTTATTCCACACTATTATCTACCTCTGTGCTAGATTTTATTCAGATTCGTTCAGTAGTTTTTACTTGAAAGAGCAACTAGCATAAAGCCTAATGAACTTTCGCATTTATAATATTAGTAGGACAGTCCACTGCTGGACTAATGAGCCTCCTCTATAAAAGTGGGATATGCCATAATCTGCACTCTTGGCAAGTAGGTTCGAGGCTGCCGTATAGAAGGTTCAGGTTTATCAGAGAGCTCTTTTGCACGGTATCTATCTAATGTGTAGACCCCATTCGCGGAATGAGTAGGTGGTGGCCGACAATTTACTATACCGTCACCAAAACTTACAAGGAAAACTCAGGCACTATGATATATCCTCTATTCTCGTTCTTGAGCATGCTCGAAAGTGTACAAAAAATGAACGCTTGTCGATTCGCAAGCATGCCCGAAATGAGTATGCTGATTTTGAGCAAGTGACAATTGCTCAATTGAAGCATGCTTTCGTGCTTGACATTAGTATGTGTAGACCTTTACTTCTAATTCATAACTTCAATAACTTCAACGCTCTATAAAGACACGTATATCTTTTTCCACAGCGCATAACCAACCCTAATTATTAGTCTATTATTCTAGAAAATTACTAACTACTGACAAACTTCCTCGGCTCCACGACTAGGCTCGAGCCACGTCAGTTCGACTTAGCAATAAATATTTCATGCGAAACGATGTCGCGAAAAAATCGATGGCACTTCAAGTTGAAATAATTAGAAGACGTGTCAAATGACTGTGCATTTCTTTATGACATAAGTATGGGGTAGGACGTGGCTGCAGTGACATGATAATGTGTCGATAGTAATAGAATAGTGTTAGGACCAACGAAGGCCACGCTTTTTAGAATAACTGTCGTTTTGTTATGAAACTTTCTTTCGTTTCTATGTATTGTAGTCTAGTGTTCAATTTTCCTCAAATATTTCTTTGTTGGATTTGGAATTCTGTTTGGTCTTATGTTGGTCCTCACATACGCACTATAGGACTTAACTATTCAGTCATTCGTTTATATTCACACATTTAAAATATCATTCCAATTTAATAAATCAATAATTATAAAGATAGATAGATTACTCGCCTTAAAAGACTAAAATCTTTCTCTACTCTAAATTACACTATAATTTAGTTCTAGTTCAAATCCAGACACATTAAAATCTAGCACGAACCCACGCGGCCTCTATTTGGCCACCGAATTCAGTTCCAATGCTAAGCACTACATTACATCTCCTGGCGATAAATATTGCACATCGGGACGTCGGCCTTTAGAAAGAAACAATCGTTTAAGTCACCTCGTATACTGCTTAAAATTATCTGAAGCTAGAACTAGTCTAGCACTCTCCTCGAATCATTAAAAACACGTAACATAACATCACGCCTTTTATCCCCGAAGCAGTAGGCAGAAGTGCACGTTTCGGCATTTAATGCCCCATTTAATAGGGGGTGAGCCTATTGTCTAATCATAAAAAAAGTTTTGTACAAATGATTGTACCTAATATCACACTAAATGAAAGCAAGTTTTAAGTGTATGCTTTAACAAAAATAAAGATGCTCAACCGGAGTGATACCACGGCGTTACAGAAAACGGACGTCAAACAACACTTGCATTTTGTTTAGGCTTGTGAGTCCGCGTTCGTCCGCCTCCAATTAAAGGTTGGCAGGTTGGCAACGCACTTGTGACTCCTTGGTATTCCAGGTGTCCATGGGCGACGCCGATTGCTAACCATCAGGTGATCCGACTGCAAGTTTGCCCCAATAAAATGTCTCTTTTAAAAAATCGATGTGCAGTGTTTACTGCCGGGCACTGTACATAATATATAATAATAAATATTCAGTTTGCGTTCAAATGGAAGTCGTTATGAAGTCGATCATAGGACAGACAGACGGACATAATAACTCTAATAATAATATAATGCCATCCTTCTATGACGCGGTAACTTGGGGTGCGTGGACGCATTATTATTTGTGTGCCCACTGTTTGGTGTGTGGGGTAGATAGGATTGTCTATAAAGTGAATTTTTTAACAGTTGTTGTAGTATCTTTATTGTAAAAGGGTTCGAGTGAGTGACTAATGATTAAAAATAGTTTTCGGATGTCTTGTATCAATTATGTAAATTAAAACAGTTGCTTTCATTAAACTAGGAATCTAATTAAATTATATTTTCACCACTTTTACTACACTTCCTTAAGTCCAGGTTAATAAATAAAAGAAGGATTTTATAATAACTATCGTGAGACATACTAAATTTACGTGTGCGGTCGCGACGTTGTCGCGCAGCTCACTGACATCTCTTCGAAACTAGTAGAGATTTTCTCAGTATATTCACGTGAGTAACCCGCGATTTTAGTTAAAATAAAATAAAGATGTCTTAACTCGTCGAGTACCGTCATTATAGACACAATTATAGAACAATAGGTTGCGGTCACCGGTGACCGCTTGGTGTTTGACAGTTAAAAATCGTCTAGTTCAAGGCTACGTCAAAACTCTCCCAGAATCAGATCACCTAAATTGATAACTATGGATTAAACAAGGGTTTCAGATAATCCCATCGAAACACCAAGCGTTGCCATATAAAATTACAGTCTTTAACTTTACAAAATGGCTTCCAATTCTAAAGATACCTTTAATACCAAATCTCGATACTATCACACGGTATTTATACTTAAAGACATCTACCTACCGCCACAAAGTTCGACCGGACGTGAAAGCTAACGGAAGTAGTTCCCGACAAGCGTGTCAAGTTACCGGGAATCGAACCCGACACCTTTGCGAGAGTGCTGACTCGCAATATTGGATGGTGTGACAAAATATTGTTGGAGATAAAATCACTTAAGTTTTTGCCTTTGTTAGGAATTCTAGCCTTTTATTGTATCGTGTCTTAGGTATGAGTAAAGTCTTATTTTTTGTAGGCTATATAGTTATTCAGCAGTTTTCATTTCATTTAAACCAATTGAATGTATTTCTGCAAAGAGGCTATAAGGCAGTATTTTTACACGTAAATTTTTCAAGCGAAATATTTCGTTAAATAAGCATACAGTCTGAAATAGTAAATGAGTGTGTAATGAGCAAAGGGTTCACTTAATTAAAACATGAAATTTTATGAGATAATTTTCAAAATAATGGCATATCTCTATTTTTTCTCTTAAAGCCGAAAATAAATAATTTATTTAAACCCAAAATCCTTGGATTGAGAACGAGCTTTGAC